TTTGTAGACATAAATGATTCGTTTAGAAAAAAATTTTAAATTTTTTTTAAAGAAAATATCCGTTGTTTAATTTCCATAACAAACAATTAGGACAAATCTCAACCGTGGAATAGATTCGAAACATGCAGTACATGGAGTGCAGACTCCAGCCGAATTGTTCTCAAAGGGACAGATCTGTCAATATTGAACCGGGGTTCAATTGCTCGATTCGGTCTAGTCTGCACAAATATTTGCCAAATTTGAACAGTGCTTAGCCATATCCAATGTTTGTCTTAATTATCGAACTAATAAAAGAAACTAAATCTTAAATATATTAATTTAAAAATAATATTTCGTTTTAATTTAAGTCAAAATCAGCGAAAATACTGAATCCGACAAGGATAGAACAGTTCAAAATACTTAGTTTGATGTCAACAAATTTCTAGTCAGTTAATATCAGTTTGAAAAAAATTCTAGGAAGATGTACAAGTGGCAAATTTAAAAAAAAAATATTTAATTTTTATCATTTTTATTTTTTTTCATTTTTTAGGCAATAAAACTTCCAATTTTTTTATTTATGCTTGTTGTCTCTTACGTTTCGGGACAATTTTCCCATCATCAGAGTAATATTTTTATTTTTACTGAAATTATGCACATTTTCTATATTAATTTTTATTTAACAATATCACTCGAATTTATCTATTTTACAATTATTTACCATTCTTTTTTTTGATGTGGCACCATTTGTCAAAAATTAAATATTATTTGGTGTTACACATATTCACTCATACACTAATCTGGCTATTTTTAGTTTTATTTCTGTACTTTGTACCCATCCTCTTATTTCTTATTATGGTTGTTTGTGGTGTTTTTTTGGCTATTGTTGTTTTTTTTGAATTTTAATATTGGATATTATGTCCGAATAGTGTGTACCTAAATGTTTTGTATCTGTTTTATAGTTTACTGTTCTATTATTGTTTCCTGTTATATGTATAGCTTCCAGCAGTTTCCTATTATTTGTTTTAGGTTCTATAAAAAAAAATAAGAAGATAACATTTTTATTTTGTGTATGATGATGAAGTTTCTTCATTAAATTTTTTTAGTTGAATTAAATATATTTACTATAGATGTGAGGAGTGTTTGAGGGGGCTTTCAACAAAATAAATTAACAAGCACCAGTCGGTTTTATAATTACAGAAAAAACACAAAATCAGTTATATTTTGTTTTATTTATAATCAATGAAGGAATGCCTGTCGACACACAAACCTTGACTTTTATATTAAGGAAAATAGAGAACAACTTGTTCATTTTTTGTACGCCCTGACTGTTTTCTGATTATATAATTACTATTTTAAAAAATATTAAATATAAATACATAAATGGGTAACGATACATATTAACCTTTTTTTATTTTAAGGCTCATTTTTAAAAAAAAAAATCTTGTTTGGAGTTTGCTTTAAAAAAATAATGTATGATTCGAAGGAAATAAAGTAAAAAAAAATCTGGTGAGCGTAACACACGATTTTCATTTAACGCTCTACTTTGAATAGAAATAATTTTTTTGTAATGATTATAAAATTTTTGAAGTGCATTATTAACGGAGCTACAGCTTAAAGCTAACATCTAACGAATCATTAAAATAACAAAAACTCAGTTTCGTACCACTTTTCGTTTTTGAGCTAGACTATTCACATACACAGACACACAGACCATTTTTCGGGACTTGGTTATTTGGACTCAGGGGACCTCCTGTGTATTTCCGTTCAAAACTCAGACTTCAAGATTTTCACGATCGCAAGATATAGGTAGGTAAGTGAAAGTTAAACAATGTACTATAAAAAATTAACATTTTATTGATAATAATAGGACAGTAAAATAAATTTATTTTAATTTGAATTGAACGGTTAAAAAATAGTATTATTTTTATTAAAGAATACTCTAAAAAAAATGCTAGTTTCAGAAATAAACTTATTTTCACTCCATTTTTAAAATTATTTAGGTTTGTTTTGTAAAAAAACAATCGCTCCATCGGATTCATTGGGTATTTTTACATATGAATCGATATTTACATCAATGTCAATAAAAATCGATTATAGTTTACTTTGAAAATGAACGACTATTATGTACCTCCATAAACAATTATCAGCCATTGAGAGATTACAAATTTCGAGGTATGTAATCGATCTACATTAAAAATCGACCTGGCTCCAGAGATACTATAAGTATATATTAATTACGAAACCTAACTCGACATGAGGGATAAGTTTTCGACAGAGAAGTTGATGACTTAATAACCTGAGACATTCGATCAATACTTGCAAATTTCTATAAAAATCGATTATGGTTCACTTTGATAATGAACGACTATTATATACCTTCATAAACAATTGCCAGCCATTGAAAGATTAAAAATTTCGAGGTATGTAATCGATCTACATTAAAAATCGACCTGGCTCCAGGAATACTATATATATATAGATTAATTTCCAAACCTAACTCGACACGAGGGATAAGTTTTCGACAGAGAAGTTGATGACTTAATAACCTGAGAGAGATAGAGACAGATATTAGACGGCCATTAATGGAATTCTTTGAGCAACTATGCCGAAGCAGTTTGTTACAACTTTCAAACTGGAGGATGATCTAGAGAGCACTTCCGAATTCCAGCTGTCCGTTGGGTTCGCTTCCTGTCTCCCTCAGGTATCCTCGGGATCGGTTAGTTCCAGGCAGCAAAATTGATCGTCTGCCAGTTAGGTCATATATTAATCTATCGAACGAATGCTTTAATTGAAGGGATATTTGTACGAGGAGTATTAAAAATTAAATAATTTAAATTTTATGCCAAAAAAAAGCAAAGTAAGCGAAAAGGATATTTTCGAATTCAAAACAATTTCATTAAAAATATTTACCTTCATTTTCTATACATTTTCCCAAACTGTTATCAACTTTAAGACCAGATTAACAATAATAGTTAATATAATTCTATTGTCATATAATAGATATAAAAAAAATAGATACGATATAAGAAACTTGCACCGCACACAAAATAAAATGCTCCTTTAATATTAACTTAATTAATAACAGAATATGTATTATAAACAAGAAGATATATATAAAAGAACAAAATAATTAAAATTAATAATTAACCTAAGTCCAGTTCAGCCTTTGTTATTATATTATATTATAATTCAGTAGAACATATAAAAAACATCTAGGGACCATATCTTTGTTTCTAATTAACCAATATATAAACGATTTTTTATTTTATAGAATATTTCGTAAATTTTTAAATAACTACAAAAAAGTGTATACTTTTTGAGTTATTCGGAATCTAATTTTACCATCCCTCGTAACCTTTTTCCAGCTTCTTTCCGTTGAAGTATGTTACATAGATAAATTTAAAGGGCATTGAGAAGAATATATTAGCCAAGTTTAATTGAAATCGGTACATTCGTTCAGGCGCTACAGACTATAGGAACGCAGCTTTTTCGGCCGCCATCTTGATAGGAAAACGCATATTGTAATGTCGATGAAGGAGGATCATCCTCGTGACCTCTGACTTTAAATTCAAATTTGAAAAAAGTCGGTAGAGTAGTTGCGGCGAAAATTCGACTTTTAACCTATCCTGAAACGTAAAACCTCAAATTTTGATTCGATTACAATGGTTCATTATTGAAAATAATAAACCAACAATGATAGAAGTGAAAACATCAACAAGGCGAGATTAATAACATGAAATATAAATTATAAATAATAGCTCATTATAAAGAGGATGAAATGCTGAACATTTCCTTACTTACAGTATGCAGATCCGATTTTTAATTTCTGAGATATTTTAATCCATATCTTCAATAAAACTCGTTATCATTTGGTTTTCGACACTATTTTTTTCCTTTTCGATTCTCTAACACGGCGTCGCGTTAAGATACAATTTTGAATAATAGCGCATTACAGAAAGGATGCTAAACAATTCACTCGCTTACAGTATGCAGGTCCAATTTCTGAGATATTTTAATTCATAAGGAAAAACACTTCAATTAGTCGACACTTTACCCGAGCGTTACACATCGGATATCTTCATAAATAAGAGGACTGATAATGGCTCATTATAATCTTTAAATATAAAAGGCCTCTAATCCCACTTTGAATTTCTGAAATAATAAAAACGGACACTTGATATGAAATGACCCAATAGTATTTTATGCCTATGAGAAGGAGTTGATCGGGGGGTGCGGTCAAATAAATACTAAATTAAACAAATAGTATTATTTAATTTTTGCCGACGTTTCGACCCACTTTGCAGGTCTTCATCAGGGCTACAAAAGATACAAAACATGGTGAAAATAAAATAAATGAATATAAGTAGATATAAAATAAGAAGAAGTTGTCTGATACAGAAATAAAAGATGATATCAGAGATATAGTGGGTGACAATGTAGTTAAAATATCAAGTATTATATATGTAGAAGATACAAACAAAAATGGAAAATAAGTATGAATAAAAATAGAAAATAAAGGAGAATATAGCATGTAAGTTAAAAGTAAACAGATTGCGATAAAAGATAAGGAATGAGTGTATAACAAACTAATAAAGATTACATTTGATAACTGTAGGTTAACAGATAAAGAAAATGAATGTTAACGAATAAATAGATTGAAAATTGAATAAGTATTGATATAGTAAAGCTAAAATAAGAATAAGATAACATAATAATAAGATATCAGTGGATAACAAGCTAGTGGAGGTTACATTTGATAACTGTAGGTAAACAGATAACGGGACTAAAGGTTAAGAAAGTAAAGAAATTGAAAGATTAATAGGATAACATTAGTGTAATATCGTTAGGATAGATTATTAAGTATAAATAACTCTATAAGAAAAATAAATAATTCATTAACTCCTTCTCATATTATATCAACGGTCAACCATCTCTACATCATTATTTTATGTCTAGGTTATTACGATATGAGGCCTGATATAATACTCACGGATACTATGCTGGCGGCCAGGTAGGCAGACCCTATGGCCAGGGCGGTTCCTCCTAACCATCGCCTGTGGCTGTCCATCGAGACGAAGTAGGTGAAGACCACGACGAAGGAGAGGATCAGCTCGAGGCCGAGCCGCTCCCAGGGCGAGAGGTGGGCGGGCAGCTGGGCGGCTGCTGCTGGCAGGCTCCCCTGTCGCTGCGGCACTGTCACTCTGTACAAAAAATAAAAACAATATTATTATATATGTCAATATTATATAGGTTAATATTATATATGTCAATATTATATCTCAATATTATATATGTCATTATTATATATCTCAATATTATATAGGTTAATATTATATATGTCAATATTATATCTCAATATTATATATGTCAATATTATATATCTCAATATTATATATGTCAATCTTATATATCTATAAAATATATATGGTCAATATTATATATGTCGATTTTATATATCTATATATATGTGTCAATATTAGTAATAATTTTTTTTTTTTTTATTGAGTATTATAACAATCTGTCTGTTGGGCATTGGTTATAGTGAGGTTGGATGACATTCACACTATATGTACAAAAAAATAAAATAAATAGAATAAAATAATAATTAAAAGTATATACAATAGACAATAAAATAAAATAACCTAAAAAATAAAAAAAAATTTTTTTTTTAGGTTTTTAGTAATAATTATAATAATTGGGTTAAGGGTTGCACGGCGCAAGTTGTAACAACAAAGTTTTGGGGAAGGGAACATTTTTAAGGAGTTTTAAATTTTTGTGGAAACTACAATGTTATGATTTTTTTCATATTAACGGAACTTTTATTACATATATTTTTTTGAAAACTTTGAAGTTTATTTACTTTGTTCTGCTTGTGGTATTTATTACTCATGCATGAAACATATTTATATGCATATCGTGTTTTATTGTTTCATTTGCTATTGATATGTTTATATATTATATATTGTTTACTATGCCTGTATTTATCTTTATTACTAGTGCTATTTATTACTATTTGTCATTTTATTTCTCGCTATATTCAGATGTATTATTTTGAATTATTGCATTATGTGGGGTATTATATTATATTTCATTGTTTATATTTAGGTATATAGTCAGATGATTGGTTGTTATCAGGAGAAGACGTTGTTAAATTCTAATGAATTTTACTTTGTATATAAGTTGTAAATGTTGTTCATATTAATTTATTCATTGTTATCCTTATAGCCAACTCTATTTATATGGGGAATCTTCCGAAAACAAATAAATAAAATAATAATAATAAAAAATTATAATACAAACGGAATTTTTAAACTATGGAACAAGTAGAAAACAAGGAACAGACCCCAGATTAATTGTACATTTCTACTTTTTACAATTTCTCTAATTTTACAATCGCTTGCACGGTGATTAAGAATGCATGGATCATATATTAATATTAAATAAATCGCCCTTATATGGGGTTACCAGGTAAAGAAAACTTTTAAAAAATAATATAAATTTCAGGTAATTTTAGACTGTTTTATATGTTTTAGTAGATCAGGGTATTTGATTACCAATGACAGTCTCTATATTTATTTAAAAATTACTTTATTCCCAGAGAAGCTTTCGGCTTTGCCTATATGAACACTCAAGATTAAAGAGACTTGTATGGGAAATGGAAAACTATTGACCAAGAATTACTACTATCTAATTAATTCCAAATAATACTGAACAAATATATTAATATTACATGCAAAGGTTTTTTGAAATGATTATATATACCTATATATATATATATATATATATATATATAGGATAGATATAATCAACAGAGCTGAGTGCAGATAAATGGAAAGAAATAGCCCAAGACAAGACAGATATGGAGTCATTAAGGCGACGAAAGAGCTACATGGTCTGTTATGCCAACAGGAAATAATAACATATAATGTAAACAAAAAAATGTATAAATATATATGTAATGTATATATAACACTCCTTCATATTCGTAACTATTTTCGTTGGAAAGTTCTAATAACAAAGAGGATATATTTTCAAACAGACATTCTCTCTTATCGCAAAACAAACCAGAGGCCGACATGAGGAAAATATTTGCAGACAGGGAAGGTAGAAGGCGGTGTGCATATAAACAAAAGCTCCTCCCTAAAACAATAGGCCCTTAGAGAAATCAGAGCGTATAAATATTTAAAGGAAGGCGGGGGGGCAGCTGCTCGGATATGGGGGGCAAAAAACAAGGGGATAAGGATTAGGATGGCCAGGTGTGTTCTCCTCTACCTGGGGTCCGTCTAATTGGACCAAAGAGGAAAAAGTGGGTTCCGGATCCATCCATCAATTTACCTAATAAGTATCGAATGTTGGGGTTATCTTCCCAACTATTACCTGACAACAGGGTATCGACCCCCAAGGTACTCTAAGATCGAGTTGTTAAGACCGTGATGAAAAATTTCTTATTAACAAAATATTGAATTCGAAAGAATTCTAGCTTTATCAAGTACTCGGAAGCTATCCATACTCTTAAGTCAGGAGTCTCCAACCGAAGGAACGAAATCCACAATTTGGTATGCGCCCGACCAAAATAAAATCTATTCACACTTAAATGTATGCCTTAAGGTCAATTTAATAATGATCAAGTAAGGATGAAATATAATTTTCAGGATTTATATTCAAGAATATTTATTAGGTTAGCCGACGTTTCGACCGAAATATGTGCGTCATCCTCAGGGCAATCTTTTGGAAGACAAGAACTCGAAACGTCAATAAAATTCTTGATTGTAAATCCTGAAAATTTCGTTTCATTCTTAATAATTGATCAGTCGACTAATTAGCCACTGACGAAATTTTAGACGAACGTTAATGATTTGATAAAAAAAAGTTAATAATTTGATACAGAAATTTTTTATTGTAAATAATATTTATTACATATTTTCATTATGCTATTAGATTTTCAAAATTTTCTAAAAGGAATATTTTGTAAAAACAAATACCTATACTTAAAATAACTATAACTATCTAAAGTCGAAGAAGAATATTCATTGATAAGAGATCTCGTCAAACCCACAGATTTTATTTCAGTAATAAAAAGTCATTTTAACAAGAAATTGTACTTCTTCCATCTTAAAATGTTTAGGCCTTAAAACTCATTTCCTAACACCCCAAAAACACAAGAATCAATAATCTTTAATTTAATTAAAATGATAAAATCTAATTGTTTTCCTCTTCTATTAATCCCTACAATTATATTTACTTTTTGTATATCTTTCTTATTTTTTTAAAAACACGTTTTCTAATTTTCATTGATTTTTAGCTACAGTTTCATTGTTCTTCACAAAATACACGAAAAATCTATCTATTGAAGGAAACTTGTCGCCTATTCTACATATCATGGGTGATAAATATTCAGGACGCAGTTATTATAATTTTTTTTATTTGTGCCGAGGTTTGACGTGCCGAAAAAATATTATTTGACTAACCATTGTACAACTTCAATCAAACTATGTTATATTTATATTGATTGGCTCCTCTTGCTTATGTTCATTTCATTATTAGCCAATAGTCATAATTCTGTAACCATAAGAAACAACTCAAATCTTGTACACATCTTGAATATTTAGTCAGCAAATTATTTACATTCTATAAACGACTCTTTCACTCATCTAATAAATGTGTCAGTAATTGAAAGCCTTCAGTACTCGAACCACGATTAGTAAGAGAAAATATTACAATTTTTTATAAATGGATTATATACATTATTTTTAGTTTCAATAACTTTTTTCATTTTTAATATTGTGTATTGTAATATTAGTTAAGATTCATGTACCATCAATCACTATAATTTATTATTTACCATAATCGCAAAATTATATCTCCGATTTTATTTTCAAATTTTCAGCCCTGATGATGATGACCCTCATGTTTGGGTTGAAACGTCGGCACAAATAAAATTTTTTATAATGATTGCGTGCTGAATATGTATCACCCATGAAAAATCTATCTATCAAAACAAATTCTGAAATATTTAGCAAATGATTAGATTTTTTTTTTTTTGCTAAAACCTTGGAAAATATTTTCATATATTGTAAATTGTATTGTATTTGTTTTTATTTATTCCTATCAAAGTAGCACACAGGACTTTCGTTGAGACGATTGTATTGTAATGTACTACTAATCAAGAAAGGTGGAATTAATTTTTTCTCCGTTTTTTTTTTTTAAAGAAATTTACAGTTTAATGACTGATATCCATCAGGCTTAAGATAAAGTAAGATAAGAAGCACATTAGTAAAACTTGTATTAATTAAAAAGACAGGTGTGTATCCTATGTTAGAACTATTCCTCAAGCAGGTGTATAACCCTTAGACCTCTGTTATCTTCTAATTAGGAAAACTGATATGACAGAATGCAAAGAACAATACATTCTATATTCTAACGAACCTGCCTGTAATAATGGGATCAATTTCAGATTTCTTTTTATGTAATGGATATGTTATGCCCATAGTGCATCTTTATGGGTTCCTTGTCAGATCTTATTTGGTTTCGCTGTCTGCAAGGATTTTTTCATAAATATTTTTTTAAATTTATAATACAGCTAAATCAACACTATCAAATAATTTAATTATACAGAAACCGATACTGTATTTTAAAAATATATGCAGGATAATAAAAATACATAAAAGAAACCAGTCCCAGGCGAGTACGCAAGGATTCTGGTAGTTTTTTGAAGCATGGTTGTTCAAAAAAAAAAAAATCTTACTAATTGTCTGTTAAAATACTAATCTGACGAAATCCAGAATTCAAATTAAATAATAAAATTCACTGTTACCCCAAATAGCGTAGTGAAAAAAATGTTACTTGTTATTGAAGTATAACGTTCATTCAGGTCATTTTCATCCTTTTACGATTGTAATTGGGAGTTTGTTTTATGGGTTATCTCCTGGATGAGTCTATTGGAATCAATGCAAAGTAGGGTTTGAAATAGATAATGAAAAACGAGTGTTTCAACTGCCTCCCGCAGTGCTTCATCCTATGCCCTGATGAAGACCTGTAAAGTGGGTCGAAACGTCTTCAAAAATTAAATAATACTATTTGTATAATTTAGTATTTATTTGACCGCACCCCCGATCAACCCCTTTCATATATACACATCATATCACGATCATCTTAAAACAATCATTAAATTAAAACAATCAAAATCAAATTTAATCAAAATTTTAATCTGGAATTAACTTGGAGCTTGAACATAAATCATAAAAATCGTATTCTGACCATTATTTTTTAACAATTTTTTTTACAATACAATAATAATTATTCTTGAGTAATACTTTTGAAAATCAGAAATATAAATTTTTTGTTGTCAACAATTAGAAATGTGTTGTAAACTATTAACAATTGAGCACCTTTATTTCAGAAATTCATAATAATATTTTGTAATCCTTATGATATATTTTGAGTCTGGAGTAGTAGATCGAGAATATATTTCTAATAGCTTAGAACACCTTTATTTCCGAAATTCATTAGCAATTTTAACTTACAATATATATTTATTATATATAATATATATATATATATATATATATATATATATATATATTATATATAATATAATATATATATATATATTACAGGCACAGCGTGCGTAAACGCGATTTTAAAAATATAATATTAAAAACTGTGTACATTAGTAACGTACATACATACATATTTTGTTTTCCTTTCATCGGCCCCGGACTCTCACTAAAGTCCTATACTGCTGCATGAATATAAATATTTAATTTAATTTTTATGTAAAAGTTGATTTTTATTTTCTGATCACTTTTTTTTAACACAATTTAAACAATATTATTTAGGTAAAACCGTACAGTGACGATTATTTTATCAATAAACAATCAGTATTGTAACAATCAGTAAACATCTAACATAAAGATCGATTTAAATTTTTATTTATAAATGAAGTATAAAAATTATTACATAGTTTCGTGCAAAAAATAATTAGTAAGAAAATAGCCACCAACTTTGTGACTAATTTCGAGAAAAATTTATATTGATTTTTTTTTGTTTAACACCATTAAATTATGTAGGACTTATTATTATATTCGTATATTAATTTTATTTCGTAGTTATTCAAAATGTATCGTTAATATGCTGACAAATAATAAAAATAAAAATATTAAACAAATCTTATTAGACTGAAACTGCAATAAATCAAGTCTTTTTTTTTTAACATTGGAAATTGTTGGTTCATCGATACAGTTTCTTCCTTGAAGTCTCCGATCATTCTTGTATTATTTTCTCGAAATAATACTGAAGAAAATTCCTTAATTCACTTTAAGCCTTAACAATCCTGAGACTATTGGCTGTTTTCTGAAGTAAGTTCCCTGAAGCTGTTGGAGGGAATTGGAGCCTTCACTGACGGCAGAGCCATTAGATAAGACGAGGGAGCTAAGTGTTTCTCCGGCGTGGATTCAATTCTCTTCCCCTCAGTGACAATCTCTTCTTATAATTTAGCCTCTCCTTATTGAGCCTTCTTCTGGTTCCCAGCCGCTAACCCCCTCCTCAGGGTAATCCGATCTCCATCTTGTCCAAGAAGGAGGCACGTGCCTCTGTGTCGCCGCCTTATAAAGAAGCCATTGTCTATGCTCAGTTCAAGGGCTCTTTGAAAAAATATATTAGATATCTTCAGTATACTAGAACTTACACACATTCTTTTTTTTTTTAGCTGGAATTACCGACATCGTAGAATTTTATCCCCTCTTAATTTGGTATATTTCTTTCCAGTTACCAGCATACATTTATATTAACTGTGATCCTCCTGTATACTTCATACATAGAAGAAGAAGAAAGAAGAAAGGTAAATTTTATTCTGGGACATTTAGTCCCCTAAGAATAATTATAATGAACAAAAAGATGACAATTGTAAATAAGAAAAAAAAAATAGTTAACATAATATAATAATCTAATCCCTACATATATAATTACAGTAAGGCTCAAAATCGATTTATATTATTGGTTGTAAAGGTTCGGAAAAGGAACCGAAGAACTATTGTCGCTGGAAAACGGACCCACCTTAACTCGACATACCATCTGGGGACGTGGGAGCGCCTTACATAAACTTAAAGCAATTTGGGCTATGGCTTCAAAGATATGAGTAATTACATAGGAAAACCGTCACTGAACACATATAAAGTTCAAAAGGTTATTTCACGAATATGTGGACAGTGAAGTTTGCGACGAAACAACTTTTTTTTAAAAATTACTTCGTGCTTAATAAATCTTAAGGTGAATAACGTGTGATCTCATAAATATTCTTTCCTATATGCATTTGTATTAACTGT